ATTATTGTTGAAGTCTTCATTGGCCCATCTCTTCTGACCTAAAAAATCCCAAAATTTGGTGTAGAATGGGTAATTTTTATAAGAGTTGAGAAAACCTTGTAGAAAATGAGTGGGTCTTGTATCAAAATAAAGTTTTTCTTAAAAAAAAAAAAATTGCTGAAAATTGCTCATGGTGTTGGTACCTAAAAATAAGGTGGCAACACCAGACTTAGAATGCCTGTTGTCGGCCTGATGCCTAGATCAAGTTCAACACGTACTTCTGGTGCAATGGAGCAGAGGGTGTCAACACATTGTTCCATTATGAATCAACACATTGCTCCATTATGTCAAAGTGTGTTGCTTTTAGAGAGCCCCCACCATAGATAGGCTCCATGAATTTACGCAAGCAAGCAGCAGGAGGTTTGGGTGATGAAAATTTGGGCATTGGCTCATTTGTTTTTGTACTTAATTTTTTTTTATAAGGATGATCAAGAGAACAGGTTAATAAACCTTTTTTTTATAAGGATGATCAACAAAATAGGTTAATAAGTTCATCCATTATTTTTTTGATTAGCAAGAAAATTTTATTTATTGGAGTACAAAAATACTCTTACCCATCACATATTGCAATAAATAATATTTTAATAATGCTACATATTTGATCACCTCCTCACTCCTATCTTCCTATCCAATTCCAAATTTAAAGACAAAAGCTAATTTTAGTCGATTAAGGCCTCCCTAGGATTATTATGCCATAATTCCTTTGTCAGATCAATCCTTGACCTTGCTTTAATAAGTTCATCTATTATTGTAGATTTTTGTTGGATTCCCCACCAATTGCAAAGTGCCTTACTAGAGTTTGGATTTTGGACTCTATATTAAGATTAAAAGTTTTTTTTTTAAATATTAAGAAATAGAGATTGTATTAAAATAATGGCTTTAAAAAAAAGATTGTATTAAAATAGTGAAATTGAAATTATATATGAATCCCTCTATTATAGCCAAAGCACAAGTATATTCTACAATAGTAGATGCAAATAAAAATTAACTCATAATAAATATAAACAATTAAGTATACAAAGTCATCTATACTTATATATTATAATAATGATCGTTATAGGACATAAATAGAGCTACTAAGTACTACCGTAGAAAGAAAGGTGTCTTGAGCATCCTGAATTATTGTACATTCTCAATTGTTATGCCAACTTTTTAGAGAGAGTATATAATTCAACAAATAACAATTCCCACCAATTGAATGTCGTACCAAAGAGGAGATACACCATATCTCACGGGTAATTTTATTAGGCAAAAATATGACATAAGGACCCAAACTTACACCAAATTCACAATTTCAGACCCAAACTTCGATTGTACTCAATGAAGGTCCCGAACTCCACGAAAATTCTCAAATAAGGTCCCAATTGGATGGGAAACTAACTTCCGGTCAAATCTCATATTATTCCGTTAATGTTTCGTCACACTTCACAGCCGCCACTTGAAAAAAATTGGTTAAATTCTAATTTTGGTCCCTCAACTTCATTAAGTTGCACTTTTTTTCTCAACTTCATTAAATTTTACTTTTTGTCCCTTAACTTCATTAAATTGCACTTTCTTATCCTTCAACTTTATTAAGTTATACTTTTTTGGTCTTTAAACTATTTTTTGCACTTTTTTGGTCCTTAAACTATTTTTTGCATTTTTTTTTATCATTTAACTTTAACAACTGCACAATTTTGATACTTTTGTCAGTTTAAACTGTTAACTTCATTTATGTGGCATTTTTTTATATTTTTTTGATGACATGTATAATCTAACTAGAAAAAAATAATAACATAGATCATCTAACTAGAAATAATGATGACATGGATAAATAAAATAATATGTAGATACATTTTTATATTTTTAATAAAAATAAAAAAACCTCTCCACCTATTTTCTTCCCCTGCTAGAAGAAAGAGAAAGAAATAGGGGGAAGAAAATAGGTAGAAAGGTTTTTATATTTTTTTTATAAAAAATATAAAGATTTATCTACATGTTATTTTATTTATTCATGTTATCATTTTTTTCTAATTAGATTATATATGTCATCAAAAAAATATAAAAAATACAAAGTGGACGGAGTTAATGGCTTAAACTGATGAAAGTATCAAAATTATGCAGTTATTAAAGTTAAGGGATTAAAAAAGTATAAAAAATAATTTAAAAACCAAAAAGTACAAAAAATAATTTATGAACCAAAAAAGTATAATTTAATAAAGTTGAGGGATAAAAAAGTGAAATTTAATGAAGTTGAGGGACAAAAAGGTGAAACTCAATGAAGTTGAGGGACCAAAATTAACATTTAATCAAT